AACAAATAAAGGTTTAAAATGTCTATAAACATGAAATGCATTGACACGAATTAGAAATCCAAGCGCAGCTGAAGAATTTGCAAGAACAGATTTTTGTTGTCCATAAAACTGTAGTTGACACAAAAAGTTTCCTAATTATGATAATTTAGATGACATTCAAAAACCTGGTATCATGGCCAGGTGTGGTGGCCCACACCTGTAATCCCAGCACTTTAGGTGACCAAGGCAGGACTGCTTGAGCCCAGGAGTTCCAGACCAGGTTGGGCAACACAGCGAGTCCTCATCACTACAGAAAAAATAAGCTGAGTGTGGTTGTGTGTGCCGGTAATCCCAGCTACTCGGGAGGATCACCTGAGCTGCCATGAACTGTGTTTGGGCCACTGCACTCCAGGCTAGGTGACAGAGACCCCAACTCAAAAACAAAACAAAGATAATAAAACAAAAAATATGTAATACCACAATATGATCACCTTTGAATTTTACACCTTTCTGAGAGGCTTCTAAATCATGCCACGTCACAGACTTCACTTTTGGAAAAGGTTTGTTTCGAGCTTTGACTCAACTTACTAGGTCTAGAACAAGCCAAACCTTGCCACTATGTCCACTGGAGGAAGGGGAATATTTACAAGTGACACCACCACCCCCATCGCTTCATTTTCCCTGCTTTTACTAAATTTTTTTTTTACTTGAAAGTCAAGTCACAAATGATGTTTTCACTAACGACTTCAATAGCTAATGTGATTAATTCCACTTACAAACTTGTGTGCTTCACTATGCTTAACGTATGAACAGTTCTTAATAAAGAATTAAAAATATGTATGCTCCTGACCACCTGTTCATGGTACCTGTCTTACCTCTAGATAATAAAGGAATTCTTTTCAGATGAATCTGAATTTAAGGAGAACGTTCCTACTTAAAAACATGCGCGAGCAAGACAAAAACATGCTACTTAGTAAAAATAAAAATCCACTAATCTAATTTTGTCTACACTTAAGACAGGAAGGGCCACATTTTACCCCGACCACCGTAGGAGGCGTCTCAAAAGAAGGAAAAGTGATCTGAACAGCTAGAAGTCGGGAGAAAACTACATCGACGTACGAGCGCAGCCAGCTCTGGGGCTCGCGAGCGGGGAGAGGGGACACATTTCCGAAGGCCAGGCTGGAGCGGCGGCTTCCCTAACGGGCATGTGATGTAACACCGGAGAGCCGCCCAAGGAGCAGGGATAGGCTGACAAAGGGGGTGCGGATGCCAGAGTGCAGGGGGGCCGCGGGCGGCGGGGAGAA